GTTATTATAGTCTTTTTATACTGAACTTAATAAAAAAAGTAATTTGGTCTTGCCCTAAGTAATTTTCGTCTTGCAAATAGTCGCTGCCATTGAACATATATTTAGGGCTCGTATGGTTACCTATATCCAATAAGTTGAGATTATATGAGATTAAATTAATTAATTCCCTATTCAATAATTAATTATTTAGTTAGCATGCGGTCTTAATTACCAAATTAAAGATATGATGTTCATGACCTTAATTAATGTGTTGTCTATCTCAGGATATATTTTTTTTCTTTCGATTTTCACAATGGGATAGATATATAAACACAATGGGGCCTTAATTGTTTCATATGGAGAGAGAGACATATGAAACAATTTATCTTATTGGGCTTTAATTTGATCGTTGCCAGCACTCCTTGGTTCATAATTAATACAATCATTATTTTTGAAGAAAAGTTAATTAAAGACTTTTTTTTAGTGACATGCTATTTTTACCTTTAAAATATCTTATTACACCACCAAATTGAATATATTTCCTATTTTACCTATTTTTTTTCTTTTACCCATAATCTCTATAAATTCATAAATTGTCCACCACCAAACTAATTAGAATATTCAAAAAAAAAAACTCTACCGTTTTCCACACGAATCTTTACCACATAATCTCACCCTCTCCACTTTAAGTGAACGATATCTTCGTTACAGAAAAACACCCAACGAGCAGGAATTCATGTTCTTTAAAAAACAAACTAAGAGAGCTCTTGTAGAAAGAGAGAGAAAAAAAAAAGATTAGGTTTTTGATATAGTTGTTTTTTGTGGATTAAAATTTGAAAATTAGGTTACTTTTCATTCAGCATAATTTCCCAGAAACTGATTCAGATTAGACGATTATTAGAATCTTATTTTACCTTTTCCGGTATTATTGCAAAAAAAAAAAAAAAAAAAAAAAAAAAACCTTAGAATTGAGGAGGATTAAGCGAATATAAGGGAAGGTGTTGGATTAGAATTTTGAAGGGTACTTATAATATTTTATATTAATTAATTTGGTGGTGAATTAAAATAATTTGGAGGTGGAAATAGCACCACTCTTTTTTGTTCGTAGTAGTACAATAAGTCGATAAGGTATCATCAACTCTTCTAACGAGTGTTGGGAATGGTCACACACGACTTGGTTCTCTCGCCTTTCACGACAAAAGCCAAACATCTTCTACTACCACAATGCGCATTAATGCAGTCCGCATCTTTTCGACACGACGTATTACCGCATCTTTTAGTAATTGTTGCTCTAGTAATACTTGGTTGCACTTCCATAGCTTCCACTCCATATATTTTCGACGAACTAGGTATAACTGCAAATATTAATTAATGTCAGAAAAAATATAATATTAATTACGATATTGAGAAAGGCTTACATGTGGTGATGAAGAGGAGGGCAAAAAGAACTAGTATAGGTGATGCAGTAGTATTCTTCATCTTTGAGCTTGTTTGTTTGTTTGTTTTTTTCTTTTCAATTTGATGGTTGAGACCAACCAAATTTATAGACGATTTCGATCATGCACATACATCACGCGAAACCCATGAGCTATATTATGGTGGTGTTTGCAAAAACTTATTTAAAAGCAAAAGTTCGGGAGTTGGTTTGAAACAAGGTTGTAAAAAGCGGTAATCCGGTCGAAGGCGGTCAGGGACCGACTCATGACTAATCGGTCGCGGTGATTAACCGGTGAGAAATCGGAAATAAATTGGTTTTTAAAATTTAATATAATATATTTGTAGTTATTATTTATAAATGCTCAAAACATAGATAAAAAGATATCTAAACATAGTTATATCTCCATCGTGTATATATTCGAATAACATAATAAAAGTTTAATAACAATAAGATCATAATACATAAATATCCTTATGAAATATAAATAAAAAGGCATTTTTTTTTAATTTACATACATACCTGGCATACATCATTAGGTTTTTAACAATAATAGTTAACATAAACAAAATAAAGTATAAACTCATATTTTTTTTACTAAATCCCAACTTTTATTTTGAATTATATAAAATAAAATAAAAAATAAAAAAAACCCGATTTTTGACCGATTTTTGCCACCGAAGTTTGACCCACCTTAAAGGTTTGACCGCCTCGGACCGCCTCAAACCGCCTAAAACCGCCTCCCAGGCAAAAAACCGATTTTTCAAACCTTTACACTAAAATCGTAAAGGTTTTGGACCGCCTCCACCTCGGAGAACGATTAATCGGCCGCCTCGGCCAATTTTTAGAACACTAGTTTTAAATGCTTATTTCAAGAAGTCGGGGGTGTTTGTAAATTTGTTGGAAAATTAACTTAGATAGGAAAAAAATTTCGATGGTTTCGTCTCTAATTATTATTTCCTAATTACTTAGGGAGTTAAGATTTTCTCTCTTATTTTTTTATTTATTTGTTTTATTTTATCCTTTTCATTTCCTATCATTGTGCAAATAGGTTCAGAAACTCTGACAAAATCAGCCTTATTTGAATTTATAAAATAGTTTATTTTCCAAATAACAAGTTCATCTTCATATATATCTAATGTTTTTTCTTTTTCCTTTTTGTTGTTGTGCTCATGCTTTATGCATGCAACCGCCTACACTTATTTAGTGGCCAGATGTTTAATGTATGTAATCAAGTTGTCATTATATTTATATATTTAGAGGGTATTTAGTTAAGCTTATAAGTTGTCAAAAGGAGCTTATAAGATGGTTTAGAGTTTATAAGCTCTTGTGTTTGATAATTTATTATTAAAAAAACTCATAAAAATTCAAAAAATAAGTTGTTGGAAACCAAATAAGATTTTTTTTAAAGGTACCTCTACTCCAACTTTTTATTTAAGATCTTATAATGAGTAAAAATAGCATATAAGTTCATTATCCAAATGCATTAAAAATTAATCTAAAAATAAGACGTAGCAGCTTATCATATATAAGAATTTATCAGATGTTTTAAATAAGTTTAGCTAAACGGCCCTCACCCTTCGTTTTATATATATATATATATATATATATATATATATATATATATATATATATATATAGCTAATCGAGTCGGTGAGTTTATTGAATATATTAGCAACCACTTTATCATCACCTAACTAAATATCAATAATCTCATGGCGCAAAAGTATTGCAACATCTCTCGAAGAATCAATAAGACAATCCAAGAACTCCACGTAATCCGTTACATAATTTGTTTTAGTGTTTCCAATTAAAATATTGCTCAACACCGTTAGATTCATAAACAAAGATTATGTCATATCTTCAATAGTCAAAAGAGCCACAAACATAATTTCATCTTTGAATCTTAAATCGAACAATGAAACTCCTTCGATATTTTTAAACTTTACATTAGCATCTCTAAGCTCAATCGCATTATTTATAAACCGCCATCTCTTTTTTCCATTATTTTCATCTTTTCGATAATCCAACCGATCAAAAGAAGGACGCCAATTACTATGTATCAAGTCGAGTAAATGTTTTATCTCTTCAGAACTTCTATCTTTACTGCCTCGACATACTTTTACTGCGAAGAGAATATTAAAGAAACTCAACAAAAGGTACATCCACCGCTACTATGTTGGTTTGGGACATCGATTAAGTCGAACAATTTGCATAGAATAAAGAATGGGACTTGATTTTCGAATAACATAAGATCTCGTTGCAAGCTATTAATGATCATGCCATATGAAAGATGGGATCATTCTTTTCTCTCAAATATATTTTATGACATTTCCCCACCAAATCAATGATGAAGCAACCATCTAAAACCAACATTTCAATAAACTCGACAACATGAAGGCAAATAGGATCTGCGTAACAGTTGCGTGTTTCGTTCCAATGGTTCGATAGCTAAGATATTTTTTTTCAATGTTTTCATTTTTGTGCTGAAGAAGTAAATGCGAATAACACAACTTGCGATCTTCTATGATCTTTAGATTATCTTTATCAAGGTGATAAGGGCCAACTGATATAGCTTCGGGTTCACAAGCTTTCATATTGACATTTCGTAAATGCTTATGTACGTTATATATAGTGCATTGTAATTCTGCTATGGACAACGGAGTGAGTTTTTGACTAGGTTATGAGTGCATGCCTCTATGACATCATTTGATCCCATATTTACTGAAATAATAAAAATTATTATTATAAATTAATCCGCTACACCTAAAATGGTGTATTCTTGAAAATAATTAGCGAGAACTCCCTGATTCACCAAGTATAATAAGGATGGATTCACCTTCTCTTACATTATTAGCGAAAACTCTCGTTAACTCCTTTTCCTTCTCCTTCTCCTTGTCCTTCTCCTAATGCTTCGAGGTTAAACTGCATAAAATCAAACCTGCACCAAACTCCCTGTGTTGATTTTATTGAGTAGAATCCGCCAGTGTTTTATTTTATCTTGCATGAAATCCTCCATTCCGTTAAAAATTAACACCGTTAACTATTTAGGTGATTACATGCAAGTTTTTCATAACACAAGGAGGTTTGGTGCATGCTATTTACAATACAAGTTAAATTTATGTAAAATTTATGCATGCCATATAAATTAAATAAAATGATTGTCATTCAAGTGTCTGGAGGATAAAAGAAAATCCAATTGAGGAACAACATTTTTCATTCCGAAATCCGAAAGTTTAGTTTCAAAATTTTCCAAATTTTTCAAAGCGGAATTTGAATACATATTAGATTTCGATTTCCGGTCAGGATTTTATTTCCGAAATATTTTTAAAAATTACACATATAATATTAATATTATTATATATTTTATGTTCTAGGTGCCTAAAAAGTTTGAAATTTCAAAATTCCACATATTCCGATCCGAAAATTTCCGATTTTGGAACAAGTTTTTTCATTCCGATTTATTGAACAGGATTATAATTAGTTTTTTCACTTCCAAAAAAATTGGAAATATTGCAAAAGTTCTGATTCCGATTCCGATCCCGATCCCGATCCCGATCCGATCCGGCCGACTTCCCCTAATTAACAAGTGAAAAATTTCAACATAATTTAAGGAAACAGTCTGCCCTCTTTTATACATAGCAGAGAAACCTTCACTTTTTTCCAGTACATATACATCTTAAATAATATCTCTCATAGCTCCCCAGGAAAAACAACACAAGGACTACAGCAGTTCGATTTCATGTCATATCATTTGTGACGAACTTGACGATGAAGAAGACGAGCATTCCATTTCAACGGATAAAGTCTTGACAACACCACGACAAGGGTCCCCTCCAAATGCAGCGTTTGATATACTTATGGAACAACTTTGTTTTCCTATACAAGCCTGTACACATATACATACGATAGAGATAGCTTTATTATACATATCATCTCCGGAAAATAGTTAGTTTAGTAAAATATTTAACGACTTCGACCTAGTCAACTGATACAGGAGAATTTTAACAACTTTGATCGTAGTTTAAAAATTTCTCAAACCTCCCATGTTTAAATGGTTCAGCTCATACTGCCTAACGGAACGTGTGAAATGTCACTTTTACCCTAATTTTTACAATTTTTTTTTAATAAACCTCAGGGGGTTAATTGTAATATCCAAGTACTTGTTTTAAATTAGACTAGACCTCAGGGGATGTAACCGTAATTTATCTACAATGAAGCAACCGATTTAACTTAATGAAACATCAAATCGTACCTGAGAGACGACTGAAATTGAATCCGGTGCATGGCAGTTGCCTCTTGAAAAATTCTGACAGCTGCCTTTTGGAGTACCATAGCTTGCAAACTTAATAGATGAAATCGTGTTTCCATCATCACAGCGCATGTGCATTTCAGGTGCTGCCGTTTGATTCAGTGAAATTGTCCCGTTATTGATCTTCCAAGCATGTAGAGGAGGATAATGATTTTCCGATACTTGAGCACAAATGGTTTCTGTGATATGTGACTTGATGGAAATCTCGAACGGCTTCTTTTCTGTCTCCTCAAAAATGACAATCAAATTGCCCGATGCCTGTAACCATGATCTTGGTATATGATACCTGGATATGTAACTTGTAAGAATAAAGTCGCTCCAACGAGTTATAATATAAGTGCATAACTAAAGTGGGAAAATGAAGCGGCACAAAAAAGTTTTATGTATTGAAGAATACCAAGATTGAGTAGGAAGGCCGCAGTTTGTTACACACTTGTCGGAATCATAAGCTCCGCGATAATCGCAAGTTTGACATCCATCTTTGGGAGCATTTAAAGTCCAATATCTTCCTATGTGGTGCCCGTTGACCCATACTTGACCTTTCCCCATACTTGACAAGTCAAGGGCAACAGGGTCCGATCCGTCAGGCACATCAAAATATGTCTGGATAATAAAAAGAATATTAGATGATGAAAGTTGTCAATATTGAAATCATATGTTATTAGAAATTATAATTTTATGGTAGCCTTGTTGTTGGGGTAAAAGGTACCAAGAGAGAGAAAATTTAGAAAGCCACTTGTTCGTTTCTGTATTTCCTTTCTCATTCAATCTCCTCTTTGGTTTTCATAATGAAGTTAGAATTTTCTAGAACCACGAACGACGTTTTCTAAACTGTAACATTTCTTCGAGGATGGTGGACCTAGCTGAAACATCTTAAACTACTATTAAAGAGAACCAATGACATAGCTAAAAGAATTACTTCTATAATCTTCAGCATGCAATTTGACGCCATCATTTGCCCTTCTAAAGGACAAAATGCACTTCACCCCCTATAAATTTCCCATATTGGCACTTTCCCCCCTAAAAATTCAGAAAAGAGATATACACCACCCCGCCCCCTCCCCCCGAAATATTGTTTTGGTTGCACTTTGCCCCAAAAGCTAATTTTCGATCGGCAATTTGCAACAAATAAAACATTTTTAAGGGGCAATGTGTACAAAAATAATGTTTTTACGGGGCAACTTGCAACAAAAATAACATTTAAAGGGGCAACATGCAAAAGAAACACTAGATTCCGGTTAATAATCCATCGGAATTTTGCTATTAGGGCAATGTCCAACAAGTATTAACATTTTGAAGGGAACATTCACTCTTTTAAATTTTGAGGGGGTAAAGTGCAAAAATTAAAAATTTATAGGGGGTGACATGCAATTTTCTCTTTGCTAAATATCGAATTTAAGATAACATGACATGATTTCATGTAATGCTTTGGAGTTTGGACTCATTACCTGGTACCAAGAAAATATAGTTGCAATAGCGTCGGATGGCAATTCCGTCCATTCTATAGTTCCATTTTTATCAACAGCATATATTTTTAAGAACTCTCCCTTGAGCCCTACCTGTAATCAAATTGTAGAAATTGAGTCAACATCTTTCTTTTGTCTGTTTGAAGCATGCATCTATATATCATATATGGTAGTGTTTTCGTTTTCTGGATGAAATATTCTTCTTCGAGTTAAGGATAGTTTAAGTTCGTGTTTCCAGTAACTATCCTTCGATGATAGCCGATAGGACCTCATGGTATTTCCTTTAAAGAAGGATTCTTATCATACAATCCAAACAAATCAGCTTATCCTTGATGAAAAAAAAAATTAGACGAAGAAAATGTTGTGTGCTAAGTCTGCATGATTACAACTTGAATTTTATTTTGCTTTCGGTTGGTGGAAAAATGAATAAAACTAACATGTAAAATGAATAAGTACCTGATAGGTCCACATATATTCTGTGATATTAATATCTCCGTTTTTACAGCCAGTAAGCTTCATTTGACCTCTGAAACCTGCCCCGTCCATCTCAAGGAAGGCACCATAATTCTGAATGCAATAGAAGATTGGTGGCATGTCAATTAGATTTTAGCTTTTGAGGAAAATGTTATCAATCAACTTTTCCGAAAGCCAATTCATAGACTTCAAACATACTCTATTAGACATGAAGACAATTAACCACAGAATCGATTTACAGAAGTAGATTACCTGCAAGCCCACTGTTTGAGATAAAAGCGTGACGTCGTTATATCCTTTTATGAGCTTAACAGGCTGACTTACCTTCACCCATTTCCCTTTTGCACTACCTTCAAACGGGGAAAAAGAATATTGTAAGATGATAGTATATTAGACTGAAATACAAGAAATTAAGAGTACAAGAGAAGGTACAAACTATGTTTAGACAATGAATATGCTAGTTCAGAAATTAAATATTAAAGTCTCCCACCTGCGTATGATGCATGACGTCTGCATCTGCAAACATACATACACAGGTGTGCATGCATGATTCTCTTGCGTATGTATATACTTTATACACATATTTATACACACACACACACACACACACACACACACACACACACACACACACACACACACAGAAGAAATCCCACACAATGAAAAACAAATACCTGTAAATTGACCATTGACAAATATATAGACCAAATCGCGCATGCTGTCAATGGTAAGCACCGGACTAGCTTTATTCTGTTCCCAAAAAGAGATGTCCTCATTGGAAATGTATATTCTGCATGCCATCAGAGATTTAATAAGAATCACAGAAAGCACATTTTGATGCACAAACGAGTCATTTAAAATCTAGGTGCCGTAAGTTTCAATTATTGACATGAACCTTTACAAAAATACGTGCAGAACTCAAAAGAATGACGCACACAAAAATAATTGAATAATATACGATTTAAGGATAAGACATGAAAATGAGGATGTAATACACGGCCGCTCTAAAAACATGGATGATTCAGTTTCAGCCAATTATTTTAGGTTGCTCGGGCTTTAGTAAATAAACTGAATAGGCCTAAAATAATATTTCAAGCTTCACATTTTGTCCAATAGTCTACTTGTGTATTACAGAATCCAATCATTTCAAAATGAATTCACATGGCTAAAGTTTCAGTCAAAGTACGACAGGCAATTCAATAAGACCATAAATACCTCGTTGTATACCATAGGTAATCTGACTGGTCCTTTGTCACATTCAAATGCTCCAGAATGCCTTGGTATGTGAAGTTGCTGTCACTCCACACGCCAATTGGTTCTTTAAAATGATTCCAGTTTTTTGAAATATAGTCAACTTCGTATGGTGCCATCAATTTCAAAGGTGCAGGATTCAAATAAGAAGCAGCATCTAATCCAACAGTCTTAACTGAAGTCTGTGCCCCTATCTGTTTTAAAAAATTAGAATTATAAGCTCGGTATTGCATGAATAGTGTAATGCACAAACTTCTGTTCTGATCCCAATATACAGTGAAAAACATCAGTATATATTACATAAAAATGTAACTAACAACATAAGAAAAACACGAATGAATAGTAGTACTAAGTACTAAAGTACAGAAAGCTAGAGAAATAGTTCCAATCGTTTAATTATTACTATCACATGCGCAAGAATTCCCAGAAAAGGAGGGAAAATGTATACCTTAGCAGTGTTAAAGGCAACGTTCTTGCAATCTGGTAATATACTCACTGACCATGGAGGTAACGTGTATGCATGTTTACGGAAGTTCACTGTGACCGAATTATGCTCATCAATATTGGCGAGAAATGCTGAGCACTTGCTTCCATTATCACTGTAGACGTATGCCTGACAATAAATAGTATATTAAAACCACACCAGTGACAAAACAAATAGAAAATAATGGTTATTTTCGCTCTTTATAACTGAAGCGTATGGACAATAGAAGAAAAAAAAAAAAGGTTTATTAGTTATGGAATGACCAAATCTTTTCATCGGTATTTTAAGACCTACTACTAGAAACTTACTGAGTAAACCAATTTGATATATAGAAACTAATTACTCTATAAAACAAAAATAATTAACAAAAAAAGAAAGCAAGGACGTGTTTACAATTGAAGATATAAAAGAGTTGAGATAAAAATAAAGCAAATGATAAAATAAGGACAAAAATGAAAAAATGCCACAGCAATCTCAATTTGACAAAATTGAATATGCTTTCTATTTTCTAAGATCTTGAGAATGCCATGAGGGTCCAGTAAGAAAATACTTAATATTAAAATAAGGACGATTAAACAGAGAATTGGAATAATATACAGAATAAAAAGAAAATATTCTTCAACAATTTAAAGTTAATGCAACCTCTTGCTTTGGTCCCAATTTGATGTACTGAGGCGAATCAACAGCGACAAGAGCAGGCTCACAAAGCTTTATGGCAGCATGGAGATCTTTCAAATGCCCCCATTTAGGCTGCCTTAGAAGTCCTAAACAGGTCACGAAAATTTGTACGCAAAAACCAACATATGACCAGATTCATTACCTTGACGGCAAGTGAATTTTCTTATGGGACCCAAAAAAAAGAAGAAAAAAAATAACTTTGTGACTGTAAATCCTACCATACTCATCAATTGGTGCATCATAATCGTAGCTAGTGATGTAATTTGGGCCTCCTGAAGTTCGGCCAAAATTTGTTCCACCAAAGTACTGCAAGTTATGATTATGTTTATGACATTTACCGATTAATAACATATGCGACATGCAAACTCAAGAATTAGGGCGTCCGGGCATTTGAAGTGTCCAACATACCATATAATAATTCTGAAAGCTTCCACCGCGTTGGAAAAAACGAGCAACTGCAAAAGCAATATCTTCAGTAGGGCGATGGGGAACTCTATCACCCCAAACTGTATACCTTGAAATAAGAAAAATAGAAAGGACATAAATCTCTTATATCAAATTTTAGGTTCAAAGATGTTGTCTTAATCGTAACTTGAAAACGAGATTTTGACAAATAAATAATTCCAGGCTAAGTTTCAATGGATTTTTTGAAATTCAAGTGAAGAAAGTAATTCCAACAATTTAATTCATTCCAGTCGAACTTGAGACTTCGTAAGTGCGACCAAAATGTTAACCTCGTATATCTTAAAGCAAAGTCAGCACTATAAAATGTGGATTGCTAAAGAAGATCAAGATATTAAGTGTGAGAAAATTATTTTCCTTATAGCTATGTTGAGTTATGTATCGCAACCCATTGAAAAGAGTCGTGCATAATTACTTAGTTTCATTTAATTGTATGTTGCAGTAACCACGAAGCTCACTCTCTTTCTTTACTTAATATTATTTTTTTTTTCTACAAGGAGCTTAGGAAAATACAAGCAAATAAACAATCTAAAAGTCTCATGCAGCACAAAAAAAATAATAATACAATAAAAATAAACTTAATTCATCTTATTTGATAAAACCAGAAAATAAAGGGTAACTATCATACCATCCATCCCAATTTTCTGTCCACATTTTTGGCTTCTTGTTGGAATTTGGCTTGAAACTGTCACAATAGTATCCATTGCAGGTATCTATCTGTAGAGCAAGTAAATATATACCCAATAACTACGATGATTGCATTGTCTACTAGTGTAAGTATGTATCTGTATATATATATATATATATATATATATATATATATATATATATATATATCACACATCACAAGCCTGTTAGATGTAAATTGTGCAGGGAATCGTGAGCTTACTATGTAGTCTGGTGCATCAGTTTGCTGACACATAACCCATGGAACACCAGCGTCAAGTCCGACTGCCATTTCAGCAGCCCATCTCATATAGTCTTTTCCTTTCGAGCCGTAAGAGTTTTGAATATTTCCATATTCATTTTCAATCTGCAACACAAAAATATTAATTTGTTACAGGTTATAAATTTGTTATTTCAAGATATGAAACAGATTAAATACTATACTCGTTCAGACAACATGACTTAGCCATTTGACGGAGTTACCAAACATTCCATGAATTCATTTACTAATACTTATCACATTGGGAGAGAGAGGAGTGTATGGATCTTTTGGTGCTTTTTATTAATATACGACAATGAATGGTGACTGAATACTCTAGCTACAGTCACAAGTGACGGTAGAATGTATTTCTTCGACCTGCAACATAATAATTGGGCCACCTTGCCATGAGAAAAGTGACTCCTCTCGCATCAAATCCACTATCTTTTTTACGAAGCGCTGCATTTCTTCCTGGCAAAGATAAGACCACAATTATGGTTACAGTTAAAACAGGGCACCATATACAAAGGTGACACAGTTCTACTGTTTGACAAATAAGCAACAATTAATTCATAGTCTCAATGCTTATGAAGTAAAAGTTATATTAAATAGCATAACATTTAATAAATTTGGCGCCGCCAACACCAAGCCCAGATGATTATTGTTGCCAAAAAATATTATTAAAAAAAAGCATCTGAATAGGAAAAATACTTGCGTATGCAACCTAAACACAAGCACATGCACTCACACTCACATGAACTAATTGGAACTAGAATACATTTTTCAAGCATACAGGAGGAGGAAGCAACGACTCGTTTGTTGTCAACTTATGTTGAAAGCTAGGGTTTGTGAGTTCTTCAAAGACTATCTGGCTTTAGAAATAGAATGAAAATGTCTCTGCATGATATCATCATAAACACAACGAATTTTTGGGTTAAGGTGTATTGAAAATAAAGGAATAGAGTTGTTCTATTGTTTCATTTGGCATAATCGTAAATGAAGGACAAACTTTCACCAGAGAAGCACAACTGGGATGGTTATGATAGTTTCCTGTTTTAGTGTAAAGAATGAAATAGATAGAAGAGATAAGCATTCTATTTTTACTATTACCACCAACAACCAGGTTTTGCGGGGTCCAAGACAACTATCCATTTCACATTTGTTTTCATATGCAGTTTCCATTAAGAGCCAAACAGAAACCCGATCTCATAGAAGCTTTTTGAAATGATCAACTTATCATGGCAATTTAATAAACATCAATTTAACCTATAAAATCCACAAAACCTAAGTATGACAATCACGACAATGATGAATGACCATAAGAATAATATTTCAAACAAAATAAACGTAGGATCAAAACATTTATGATATACCTTGAAAGGCGTGTTGTCTGTTCGAAATTCAATACCAGGTACATCACGAAGCCAAACGGGAAAGCCCCTGCATATTATTAAGACTAGACAAAGTGAGGTAATATACATTTATATAAATATTATATTTTGGAAAGTCTTTCATCTACTATGAAAGCAAATAAAAGCACTTCTGCATCATAAATTCGTATTGAATCATCCAAGCATATCTAATGCAAGTCACATAAGAAGCATTATTTAGGTCATTGGAAGTGGGACCATATGAACAATCCTTTTAGGTGACATCATCCTAAAGCCTGAGGAGTGGCACTTCAAATCGAGCTCAAGTACTTTAGAAATCTTTTTAATCAAACTTTGTACACGAGATTTATTCTTGTTTTGACATCCCATGCTAAATTAAACGTACCCAAAGCTGCTGCAACTTTCTTGCAACAATTTTTTTACATAATCTTTTTTCTTTAACTTTCTCTCAAAAAATTGAGATTTCTGTAATATGGAATAAATTAAAATCGTTTTGAGATTACTATCAAAACTTTTTGGAAATTGGAACTACTGATGAGTAAGAAATTATCAATGATGAATAGTTCCTAGCCATGGAAAATACGAAAACAAATATCCTATGCATTAACGATATGGTCAATTAAACAGTGAGTAAGGAAAAGAGAACTCAACCCGAAATTCCACTCCGCACAAACATAAGGACCGATACGAAGAAATAAATAAAGTCCACTGGAACCTACTAGCTTCACAAACTTCACAAGATCATATCTTCCTTCAAAGTTATACTGAAAAGACAAGCAATGTATTAGAAAGCAATAAACAATCTACAAAGGAATATTGAAGCTAGGGTGGAAACCGAAACTGTACCTGCCCCTTTACCGGCTCATGGCCATTCCAGAATACGTATGTTTCAATAACATCCAGTCCACCTTCCTTGCTCTTGGAAATCAAATCAGGCCACGTCTGACATCATTTTGAACTATCAGACGAAGGCAAAGATATTTAACAGAAACACGAGAAACATAAAATCACACATTTCCTTAGGATGTCTGCTGTTTATGCCAATGATATAGAAAATAATCACAGAACATATTGAGCAAAAAGAAATTGAAAGATTACATAAAAAGAGTTTTTGACATAAAATCTCATTGAATAGATTTCGACTTCGTAAAGTCTGAGGTACATGTCAATACGAGCCTTTTCTATACAAACACCAATTTTTCATTACCAAATCGTGATGAAAAATGAAAATTATCAGTTTTCATATAATTATGTTTATTCCTTTATGGAAGGCCCGAAACACCGATATGCTCCTCTTTAAAATGCGTTCTATAGAGAAACCAATCAAAACAACCAACGAATTTCCGATTCCAATCTGAAGTAAGTAATGCAGTAATTTCGAAAATGTAATAGTAACAAATACTAACTCATTCCAGTTTCAACTCGCAATTTCAAACAATCAAAAGCACAAACATCAAACGAATTACAATTGCATTTACAATTGCACCATTTTTTTCCACCAAGAAGACACACAAACAAATAACATGTGCAATTACAATCTAAAAATAAGAACAAATACAGCAAAATACACATCGAAAGCAAAAACTCAAATTGTCAACAATTAAGCAGACATTTCTCAAAAAACAAAATTAAAAACTGAAGTAGACAGAAAATTTTTGTAGCAGCAGAAACGTTACTTGGGGAGTAGCTCTGGGATAGTGAATTCCGCCGGAGATTAGCATCCGCCGCTCTCCGCCGACGATGATTGCTCTGCCGTCGTAGGTCACATTGAACGGCGTAAAACACTCTCCGGCAACAATCAGCGATTGTAAAATCAACGCCAACAAACCCCATTGCAATTTGAATTCCATTTTTTGTGTTTGATTGAAGTTTGCGTGTGTGTACCGTGATTATAGATAAGAGCAACGCATATTTATACGTGTTGTGAAGTCAGTGATGAAAGTGACATGCGATCAGAAGTGGAAATAAATCCCGAGTTTATTCAGTTGTTGTGGGGTTATGTAATAGTACATATTTTGATGCAATGGGTACAACACCATCTTAAGTCGAGAAGCTGATAGACACTTTTCAAAATAGTTAGGGACTCAGGAAAAATTTCACTTTGCACCCCTATACTATGCGAAATGTGTCATGTAACCTCTAATGTATAGAAAACATCACACGCCCCATGCGCTTAGCTTTTTTCCTTGATTTCGTTAGAGCATCTCCAATGGAGAGGGGGTTTTCCCCTCCCCTCCCTCTCCCTCTCCCCCGACCTCTACTTGCGTCCTTTTCAATTGTTCCATCTTTTATTATTTTTTTTGAAACCCCCACTCTCATTTCATAATAATAATAAAATAATAATAACCATAATAATAATAATAAGGGTTTATTAGGGATAACCCCCTTGTTCATATTTTCTAATGAGATAGATCCAATTTTTTTCCCCTTTTTGAGATAGACTCAATTTTGCCAACTTGGCAAAATATATTATATAATTTTCCTTTAATACCCCTGTTTTATTTTTAAACGTCATTTATTTCCTTTACTACGTGATTTGAGATTTGCTGATATGTTGCCTAAAATCACGGAATAAAATTACGTGAGATCATTGGCCGTTATATCAAATCGTGTACAATATTTTTCGAAGGTTCTCTTCAGCGTTCCAGCGGTTTTTTATCGTTTTTGAAGATTTATGCACCGTCGTTGAAATAGGATCGAGTTTGAGCGTTCGTTGTTGGACGTTGTTAACCGGGTATGAATGCATTATTCGTTTTTATTTTTCGCTCAATGTCTAGGATTGTCGATTACAGTGGTTAGAAATTTTTAAGAGTTATGTTGATACTTGATTCTATTAAGTAGAACGTTTTTTAACACAATTATTAAGTCATATATACATCGTTATTTTTGGCGGATGATGTTTGTTTGGAAGAGGATTGACAGAGTTAGATGAGGATGGTTCACGCATATCGAACCAGAGTTGTTTTATATGAACATCGTAGTTGGTTTACGCATTAATTGAAATAACTGTCCGCTGTCGTGGAGTTCATGAGTCTGATCCCGGTCGATAGTTGGTTTATTTGTGTATAACAGCGGATTTTAGGACGCTGGGTAGTACATTAAAATATATTTCGTAGTATTTTTTGGGATATCGTATGAATTTTGCATTTTAAGTTTATTTTTGATCATATTAATATATTTTTTAGTATTCTGCATTTTTAATGTCGTATCATGATTCAAGGGTTTTATCGATGGCGAATTTTGTACGGATCTTGTTGAGATTTTGCATTTTAAGTTTATTTTTGATGATATTAATGTATTGTCATTCAAATGTATTTGCAGTCTATTTAATCATTTTTTAGTATTCTGCATTTTTAATTTTGTTTTATGATTTTAGGTTTTTTCGATGGCGAACTCGTACGGATTTTGTTGAGGTTTGGTGGGTTGGTTGCTATAAAGAGGTGTTTACGATGTAATGGCTCGGTAACTTCGGTTAAGTTTTAAACTGTTGTAATACAGTAGTATACTATTATGAATACCGTCTGATACTACCATTATCATTTTATTATACTATTATGAGATTATTAATGTACTAGAGTCTTTTAACTCGACATATTGGTTTGATTGTGTTATGATGTGTTTTATGTATTTTATCAAAACCTAGATTGAAATTATGAGATTATTAATGTACTATTTTATTGGTTATGTTGGAATACTTTACGTTGGTGTTGTTCTCAATGTTCTTGTCATTTCAGTGGTATATTGTTTGTAACACAATTCATATCACTACTATAACCGTAATATACTATCTTAGCAGATCAATGTACTATATTGAAATTATTAATATACTATGTGGCTGAATAATACGGGATCCATAGTCGATTAACGATCGAGATCCATAGTCGAATTAGATCAATAAGATAGTCTATTACATGATATAAGGAAAATTACCCTAATTGATTAGTATTTCAAACAAACATATTATTCAGTTTCCATATATATTATTATTTTTTCATATATATTATTATTTACCTTAATCGTTTTCATATAATAAGGAAAATTACCCTAATTGATTAGTATTTCAAACAAACATATTATTCAGTTTCCATATATATTATTATTTTTCCAATAGTCAATTAACTAAACCCATAGTCGAATTAGATACATGGGATAGTCTATTAAAAGATATGAGATAGTCTATTAATTTTAAAACACAAATCCGCCGCCGTCACTTCTCAAATCTAGGGTTTTGATGATTCTTCGGCCCATAGTCGATTAACGAGATCCATAGTAAAATTATACCAGTGGGATAGTCTATTAAATGATATGGGATAGTATATTAATACAGATGTAATTCGACTATGCATCTCGTTAATCAACTATGGGCCGAAGAATTATCAAAACCCTAGATTTGAGTAATCCTAGATTTGAGTAACCCTAGATTGGAGCGGTGACGGCGACGGCGACGGCGGCGGCCAATGACGATATCACTTCTGGTGGATGTCCTGCCCATCAATTGTTGCAATATCACTGATTTAGTGCTCGAATTCGGTATGCGATTATAACAGATCTGCAATTACACAAACGTGATAGTCGATTTAGCCAAAACATATCAACAAATCGATGGATGATAGCGATTCAACGGGTGGCGACGACGTACCTACGACAGCTTGCCTGGAGTGCACGAAAATCGTCGTTTCACGGCAGTCCAGACGTCTTCCCCTTTCAATCGGCCGTACCGGGAAGTTGTTCTAGGAGGTTTTGCAGTTTATTCGATAGTGGGTTTGGGATGATAGTGATTTAACGGAAAAATAGGAAGGGATTTGATTTTATTTCAAAAGGTAAAGTAATGGGTTTTGTGGGATTTGATTGAGGGTAATTATGTAATTACGAAAAGTTTGGGCTGTTATCAAAATGGCAAATATAAATTTGGGTCTACCCCTATTATTTGAATGTTTAAGGGGGTTATATCTAATAATAATAATAATAATAATAATAATAATAATAATAATAATAATAATAATAATAATAATAATAATAATAATAATAATAATAATAATAATAATAATAATAATAATAATAATAATAATAATAATAATAATAATAATAATAATAATAATAATAATAATAATAATAATAATAATAATAATAATAATAATAATAATAATAATAATAATAATAATAATAATAATAATAATAATAATAATAATAATAATAATAATAATAATAATAATAATAATATTATTATTATTATTATTATTATTACTAAAAACTAATAATTAATAATAATTATTACTAATTAAAAAATATAGAATTAGTAATTCAAAAGATATAATTCAAACGGAAATAATAAAATAAAAGAAAAAGAAATAAAAACAAAAATATTAAAAGTCTTTATTTACAAATTAAGTGTTTGATTTTATTGAAATTATGTAATTAAATAATTGAAATAAAATAAAATAATGATATAATATAGAAATAAATACAAAAGAAAAGAAAAATAAAAAAAATATAAAATTAACAAGTAAAAAAAAAAGAAAAAAGAAAAGAAAACAAAAAAAAGAAGTGACGTGTATAACAAATAAAAAAAAAAAGAAAAGAAAAAGAAAAAAAAAAAAAAAAAAAAAAAAGAAGGAGCGTGTATCACACGCCCCCTTCCAGCACGTGAGTTGGACGGGGGCAGCTCAAGGGATTCTTCTGGGGCAATTTTTTTTGGTGTAGTTTTAGGATGTAGTTTTTAAAATGAGGTTGTTTTGGGAAGAGTAACGTAATTGGGGTTGAGCGCCACCCATCATGGCGGCACCGCAAGAGGCGCCACCGCCGGCGGCGGCACCAACAGAAGACGCCACCTCCAACGGTGGCAAGGCTGGAGACGCCGCCACCGGTGGCGTCTTCTTCCTATTTTTTAAATATTAATATTTTATTATTTTATTATTTTATATTTTAATATTTTAATATTTTAATGTTTTGTAATTTTTAATATTTATTATTTTATTATTTTATTATTTTAATATTTTCTGATTTCTTAATATTTTAATATTTTCTGGTTTTTAATTTTTTTTTACAAATAAAACAATTCTAACTAAATTCATTAGTTTGATGTTAGTATTAAATTTATTACATTTTATATATTTTATCAATTAATGTTAAATTAAGCATTGCATATATTTATCTAATCAACACAATAAAATCGTGTACAATCTTAAAAATATGTAGACAAAAACAAAAGGAGTTCTAGAACATAAAAGAGTTATATAAAATAAATAGGTCTAATATAAGAGTTATATAAAATAAATAGGTCTAAAATGAGACAAAGACAAAATGAGTACAAGAAAATAAAATTGGCACTATGAAGTCAGTGCCTATGTGAACCAGTGCCACATGCAGGTGCCCGTCTAGTCCTACGCGGCCTACCATCTCGACGAATGTCAGGATTTGCCGGTACATCATCAACAAACTGGGTGTCATCCGGTGGATATGGAACAAGGAAAACATTATATTGTGGTCGGATCCGCTCTTGGGGACTTGAGTATCCCAAATTGAGCTCCAAATGTGGACCCCGTGAAGAGAACCGAGTATCAATAGCAGGAGGATATGGGGTAGCTAGAGAATCGGACCATGGCATATCTGGAACGTAATCATTCGTAGATGGACCAACTAAATCTGTAAATGTGGGTACCTGAGATGTAGACGCACCGAACATATCCATAAATCCCTGTGTAGTAGATAAATCGTCCATACCTCCATGCACAGAAATATCTGCATAAAAGGGTGTATGAGAAGCAAATGGACCGGCAACATTTCCAGATGGAGGTACCCGAGATGTAGAAGCATAATAGTTCCCCTCTCTCGTCTGTCTCACGTCATGCTCCAATTCAGTAGCTCTTTCGGCAGCGCTGGACCTTCTTCTGGTATGTCTATCTCGATGCGGAGAAGCTATAGGAGGTATGGCAGGTATCGGAGGTAAGCTGGACGAAGCACCATCTCTACGTAGAAGTTGAGTCCCAACTGCATACATCCGTGTAGCGTTGTCCTGATACAGATCATATATCCGATCGTCATCTCGAGAAACTGCCCCAGCAGCAAGACTCATAGATATAAGTTGATTACCCTGAAATAAAATGCATTACAAGTTTAAGAAC